CACCCTTGTGATTAAGATGTGGCTATGTTTAGAGAAGTAATACTACTTGGTTGGGGTCAGATCACCTTCATGGTTAAATGAACTGCAATACTTTTCAGGAGAGGGCAATTTGGCAAGCCATTACAATGAAGCTTGTTCATCACCAAAATGGTTCCCATGCTCCCCAAAAACCTTTTTTTTGTTATCTCTCAGATTGGATCGTTTCTACAAGGAGTAGCTTGTGCATAAGCGTGACTTTTTTAAATATTCGTTTATTTTAAAGTAGCTTTTCTCACAGTATGTTTAAAATAAAAGTAAGAGTTCGACAAACATAAAAACAATTTGATCAGATTTTCCTTGCAGCGTGAAATTGTTAATTGTCTTCTTACAATTTGCATTTCCTGTGACTTATGGAATTAATATCAGATGTTTATTGCAATATCCCTTAATGTTACCCTTTGGTTAGGAAGAAATAAGTGGTTAAGTTTTTCACGGAGATTTATGCAACCAAGCACATGTTTCTCTTCGTAGCAGATGGTAGTCTTATTTGCACAGTAACAAATCACTCATATTGCCATTGACACTAATGGCTGTGGAATTGAGTGGGGACACTGGGGCAGCAATGCAGTCTTACATCCATGTCCAATCAGTGCGAAGCAACACAACCTGTCACAATAATTATGACAGAACTATTGAGACAATTTTTTGGCAACAGTCTCACCGTCCCACAAGTGTTCCCCTTGATTGGCCTTGGTAGCTTGCAAAGTCATTGTCATTTCTCACAACTTCATTACTTGGTGGCACAAAGCAATTTCCATCGTCTTTGCTTCTCCTACTTTGTTGCCCCTAAAGGGAGCTCACACCGTGTAAGCATGGCAACACCTTGTCGGAGAGACAAGGTGATATCTTCCGAGTGTCTTTCAGAGTTATCCCTTATTTTAATGGTAACGCTTTTATTCGTATTTTAATGATTTACCCATCATTGATGTGTCTTATTGCTGATTGAATTCAGGTGTGTGTAATGTCTCCTGACTGTGGCCCCCTTATGGGGCTGTGCTGTTGCCCATAAGGCTCATTGCATTTATAATCTTGCACTTTAAATTCTTGGTAATGTTTACGCTTACCTCAGGAGCTGACCACATCTTCAAGGAGGCTAATGAGTTGGCTGCTGTTTGTGGCTCATCCCATTCTTATAGTCTATTTACTCACACACTGTCCTTATGTAAATGCACTTACAGAACAAAGTCAATATCACATAATGTAAATATTATAATAGGTTTTGTGTCAATATATGTGAACAAAAAGGTATGCGTTTGCAAGAAAATCTACTTAAAAGTTATGAAAAGGTAAAATATGAACTATGCAGTGTTTTATCTTTAGTCACTTTAAAAAATGTAATAACTAAAGCCTAAAGTACATTATTTTTTAGTATAATAGGCACTCATATTTATCAGTTTGGGACTTTAATTAAGTTTTTTTTTTTCTGCTTAAAGGATCTGAATTTGTCCTCCACGACTCCAAAACACACACAGTGACTTGCGCGCAAGCACATGCTCTCCATGCGGTGTTATCGTTGCACTTAAACATCAGATGAGTAGATTAGTGTTTTAATCTTGCTCTGGATCTGAGTCATCTCACTTCCAAGTTCTCCCCTCATCCTGCTGTGAAATATTTTATCTACTCAACTGTAAATAAGTGCTAACAAGATTATCAGATTACCCTTCATCCAGGGCACCCGGTGACTACTGGGCACAGTAACAGCGATGATGTAAAAAAATCCCACTAAGATAATTGTGTTAGGAGGCATCATTTTAATGCAAATTTTCCAAAGGCTCACAAAGCTTTAGGGCAGCTTAAAGCACTTTTCCCATATGCAGTATTAACTGTATTTCTTCTGTTGCCACAAAAAAGCCACATCGAATATAAAGGACGTAGTTGAAACTGGACTGTGGTTAAAAAAAACATCCCAGTGTTTTCTCTCTTTATGTTGAGAAACTGGGCCAAGTGTAATTGAATTGACAGAAGTTATTCTGACAATTTAAAAAAAAAAGATACATTATTTAATATTTGAATAAATAATGAAATCCTTTTTACAAGTTGGGAAAAAAATTGCATGTTGATGTTGCAGATGGTGCAGGGACTATATTTTCATTATCCTCCTGTATGATGTTGCCATCATTTATACCACAACAGCGAAACAAGGAAGTTATCAAGCACAGATACTCCAAAGTCATGCTGTCAACTGGTTGTTGTTTTACAATTGTGGTTTAAACTGGATTTCATGTTGCTGCTCAGGTACAGTGACTAGGCCACTGTGAGCCAAAAGAGAAAACAAAAGGGACGAGCTCTCTCTCTCTCTCACTACGCAAAACATATTTATATGCAAATTAGCTTGTGAAACAAAAATGATTCAAATGCTCGATAGGATAATGTATTTAATCTGTGGGATTTGAGTCGTTGATGAGGGAGAGGACAGGGGATATTTCTGAAGAAGCACAGGGATGTGGGGGGGAGTAGGATCGGAAAAGTGTCTCATCCCTGTCTCAGTCAATTGGTGAATTGCATGTAGCAGTCAGACTTTGTGAATTTATGTGAGATACGGATTTTTATGAAGTGCAAGTACTGAAGGCAAGGGAAGAAAACAGGCTGAGATCTAAAGATGAGAGCACTGTCACTGGAGACTGCTCTTCAAGGTCTGTAAATAGATGGCAATATATATATAAATACATATATATAGTATGATATGTATTGGATCCTGAAAATCATAAAGTGTACATTTGGAAGCAGAAAGTCTGTGGAATTTTACAGGATGTTCTCTCCAAACCAAACACTGTGATTGGCATTTAGTTGGTCCTGTTTCTGTTTCCAAGTGTGGTGACGGCACCTGCCTATTCCTTCTGTTTGTCTGCTAGTGTCTTGTCCGGTTTTCTCTCCGTCTGCTTCATCTGTATCTGTCTCTCTGTTTTCTTGGTGTTTGTTGCTCTGCATCCTTGGCAGCATCTTAGGATTTCTCCACAGCCTGTTCACTCTCAGTCTGCTCTAATGTTTCTTTTAGAAAAAAAACTTCCTCGAGCTCAGTTTGTGAATCAGAAAATGTAGAAATTAAATTACAAAACTGCCCTTCGCAAAGGGTTCGATAAGGCATTATAGTAGGCTCCTATAACAGTACACTGATCGGTGTACAGTATGTCACTTTAAAAAACAAAGAAACAACGTAATAAATATATGAATTATTTATAAATATGTCGATTAGCAGCATTTTACTTTACACCACAATTCATTTTTAAATGGGCTTTAAGACATAGTAATGTAGCTGTAAGCATATTCTAACTGATTATTAATATATTTTTAACATCTACAACTCCTCATTAGGGCACCATGAGTGTTGTGTGTGACTGTGGTGTAGAAAATAGCAAAACACTCACACACAGATTTATTTATATGTGTGTGTGTGTGTGTGTGTTCCAGCTCTCCAGTAGTAATATCCTCCTAATTCTGTCTATAATGCAGTGATGTCCTATTTTTTTAATGGTTTCAAATGTAACACTCTAGTTTCCCATGCATGTCAGCTTTCTAATGTGTTGTCAAATGAACCTTGTTCCTGAAAAATTCCCATATGTTCGCTACACTCCCAGAGAGATATAAACAATTTACAAGAACACATACCAGCGGATGACACGCAGTGCTACAACTGACAGCTAGCAACCCGGTTTAATGGCCTTCTTACAAGACATCGCGTGATGTCACTGGCAGATTGCAAATGTCAAAGATGGTTCATTTGATCCTTGTCGCTTGGTGCCGAGCAGCAGTGGAAGCAAATACATTAATAGCGCTCATCTCTGCCTTCTGCTTCTCTGTCTCTCTCTCTCTGCCTTTTTTCTAACATCGCTCTTGTCTTTTTTTCCCCCCAATCTCTCACACTCACGCTTCACACACAGGTGGTCTGGTCATGGTATGAGTGAAATCAAAGACAAGCTGGAATGTTAAAAACAGACGCAGGCTGTATGCAGTGTCATGGCAAAGCCTCAGATGTTGCCATGGAGCTACAGTAGTGCACTAATGTGTTCTTCTCTTTTCATTTTTATCTTCTTATATTCTTCTTTTATTTGTGCTTTATTTTCGTCGCAGGCTTTGTGCCGTCTGTCTTTGTGCCGTCTGTCTTTGCTTTTTATTTCTTTATTTGTCTGACAGTACCAAAATTAACAGAAGTTTAAGTAGCACTAAAGTGATACATTAGTGAAAGAAAATGAATAAAAATGCAGTGATTTTGTGGACTTTAAATTAAAGTCCGCAAAATCACTGCTTATGCACCAAATTGCATATATTTTATCAATATTTTTTCCACATATTTATATTGTTAGTATATATTGAATATCTGCTAAACCAAAGTGCTGCTGAATTATTTTTTATTGCTTAAATGTAAGGATACGTCCCTTTTTGGCTTAGTTAGCTTTACTTTTAACTATCCTGCTTTGCTGACCCATCGGAAACCATCCCCCCCCCCCCCACACACACACACACAGACACACACACACACACACACTAGAAGTCTCCAGTGTGTGCTGTTCAAAATCTAAAGTCAACCATGAATACAGAGGCTGACAGGCCAATTATCAGATGTACTCCCCGTTCTGCATCCCCACCTCTGAGGGGAAGCAGATGTGAGAATCCTGTCACTTTTACTCAAGCCAGCACAGTTACATGGCCCAACAACAAAAGGCACAGCCTTCACAATAAATGGAGATGGACAGAGATGTAAACCTTGTCATGCAGTTTCATCTGCTGGATTTCCACATTTCAAGCTTCAGAAGATGCAATAGAGTGTAGTGTCCGTCCGACTTCCATCCCCTCTATAGTTTCATATAAAACTGCATTTTTGACTGCTGATGCTTTGGCATGCACTGGTGCTGGTAGAAACCTCTTGAAAATTTTTGACTACCATCAAACATTTCAACTTCTATTAGAAATAATCACCATTTCAATCCCTGACATAACTGAAAAAGCATTTCTTTGCTTTGCAGGTGAATGTAGCTCCAGCATGTGTTAAAGCCTTGACCAGGATGCTGTACTGTCCATACTGTCGTGGAATGCCTGGGCTCAAACCCTGTCCCAACTACTGTCACAACGTAATGAGAGGCTGTCTAGCAAACCAGGCAGACCTAGATTCTGAATGGAACCTCTTCATTGGTAAGATCTGAATCGAGTGCCCTTGCACCTGTTTTTCGTTTTCTCTTTCTTTGTAGGTTCGTCGACATGTGTTCAAACTTGAGCTTGTACTTCTAAGGCTGCATGTTTCTTTTCTAAGGCAGTGCCTTTGAATTGTCTCGATGGGAATTCAGTAGGATGCACTGTGATAGATTCAGCTTTAAAGGATTTTAAAGAGACAAAACTGAAATCTTATTTGTGAAACCATTTCTTCTTTTTCTGTCTGAAATGTTGTTTGCTATTGCTGGAGCCCTGGCATAGTGCTTAAAGCTCTAGTCCCTGCTGTTTGGGATTGATAAAGGAGAGTAGATCCTAGGCAAACACATTTTCTATAGTGTTTCCAGCTGAGCATGGTGAGTAATATAGCACTTCAGTTTGGCTGTAAGCAGCCGGCTGCTGTAAGCCCTCCTGTTAAATGGATACCAAGAAGGCATATAGAGTGTTCCCTCTGGATCTTTTGTAGGCCAGTGCTTTATTTGTTATGTACCCCAATCCCATCCTCCCACCCACACTAACAGATTTTTTTTTTTTTTAAATGGGGCACCATTTTTTAAGAGACATCCCCAAAGACTGTGTGTCAAGTGAACTGCACATCTAAGCTTTTCGCTGTTTTGTGACAAGCCTGTCATTTGAGAAACCATGAGATGACGAACCGTTTGTTCTCTCCGATGGCACGTCTGAAGTCTCAGATCAACATGGGCCCCCATGCACTGAATGAGATGTCTCACAGCTTTATGACATGTGTTAAAAAGTTAGTGTCTTGTTTGGTTGTGAAGAGGAAAATCTATTGTCGCAAAGGGATGATGTGCTTGACAGTAATGGGAAAAGCTGTTGTTGCAACAGAATGATGAATCTAGTTAGACCCAAACACCCTTGGGGTGTCAGAAAAAGTGTATTTTTTTTATTCTAAATCACTTTTTTTGTGCAGACATGGGTTTTGCTTTGGAAAGCCAGTGTGTTTCATTGTATTATAATTAGAAATGCAGAACCCAGGGGATGTTTATTTTTTGCTACAAAAGATTTGTTTTTGATGTCTGGTGACATTTTGTATTTGTTATCTGTTGCTAAAGTACTGTACTTCAATTTGCTTACCATGCAGCTCACATGAAATATTGATCTGCCTTTCAGAGACTTCTAAATGTATCACAGGTCAGTTCTCACCACTGAAGCATATCTTTACATTATAGAAATTTATGGATTGAACCCCTACACAATCTGTCATTGTCCTCCTTTCAAATCATCAACTATTAAGGGAGGTTAGATTAAAAGCCTTGAAGAACCCCCAGTGGCATTTACCTGTGGACCTTGCTCATGTTTAAATGTCACTATTGATACCATTGATGTTATCAGTAGTTGTATGACCACAGGAGAAGCTCAAGGCTGTTTTATTATTCCACAGCAGGAAAAAGAGGAGGGAAAAAAGCATGTATAAAGTGCTGTTTCTTTATTTTCATTAAAATCAAACCAATAAATCTACATTTTTATTTGCTATACCAAATCTACCAAGAAAAACACTTATTTTATTTCTGGCACGTAAAATAGTTATTAATGTGTTTGCAAGTGTAGTGCTCCTAACACTCCAATACACAGCAAGAAAATAAAAAAAATATATATATATTCACACACAATACTTAATAGTACCAATACGCCTGTAACATCTATTTTTAATGATGGTCATTTTGACATGTCACGACAGAAAAAGGCACAGATGTAGTTAGTAACATTAAGGTGAATTGGTGCCAGAGCCCTTCTGCTGTAAGGCAGGCTTTGTGGCTTAAAATGAAATCATAATGTCATTTCTTACATGCCGTGTATGTCTGATATTCACCATGGAAATGTGATCTGTAATTACATTAAAGAACACAGAAATAATGGACAAAATTTGTGAACATTTTGTTTTTACCTTTGGTTTATTTGCCAGGTAATAACTGGCAGGCCAAGTGTTTTCAGTTTTTTGGGTTTGAATAATTTATCATTTGAAGTTTTTTCTTTTTAATCTTCTTTCCTGAGAAGGATTTTTCTTATACTGAAAATACTTTGGCTTAACCAGACTTCGCTAAATGCCAGTAGATTTGCAACCTTACTGACATTAACATTATTAAACTTAATACACATGTCATTTAGACTAATAGAAATAAAATCCTGTCGCAACAATCAGGTTCTGGCTACGTGTTATATTGCACTTTAGTGTATCTAAACCTTGAAAGGCAGATTTTAATAAGCATGACTCCATCACTGTATGGAAACAGCTTTGCTTTCCTACTTTCTCTTTAAATATTTATGGAAATGTTCTTTGCATGTCTGCTCAGTCACCAAACACAAAACTCACAGTGACTTTGGTCTTTTCTCTCTCGGCACATAAAAGTTGTGTCACATCTGACAATCACAATTTATCTGCCATAAGATATGTTGTGTCTTTTGAATTGTGGAAAATGTAAAACACGGTTTGGTAATTTTATTCTTGTTTGTTTGTCAGATGATGGTTTTGGTGTTGTGGGTTTTTTTGTTGAATAATTAATTAATTCAATATTATATTTAATCTATAAAATAAGCCAATAGGTCAAGCATAACATAGATTAAATATATCAAATCTATGCAATGCTCTTTACACCTTGTTATATATTTTTTAACCTAACCCTATTTAAGTATTAATATTGTAAGTATTAAAAGACAGTATCGCAGTGGTACTATGTAAGAGTAGGTGGTGAAATATTTTTCATTCTATCTAGATTACACACGTTTTTTTTTCCCAGCAGCCATTTTGACATTAAATAGCGGATAAACGCAGCGCATAACCTTCATAATGTCCTTATAACAGTTGGGTTTCACCTACCCTTTCATATCAGAGTAACTGCTGTGAAAATAGCCTATGCCTTCGTTTTGAATAAAAGAAGAGAGATTGCTCTAAATGCTTTACAGAACCATTAAAATGTCTCTTAACACTGACAATACCTCACCATGAGATTAGAAACTAAAATATTGGCAATCAAACAAATTAACACCAACTGCTGATTTTATTGGATACATTAAAAAAAGCAGTTTGTATGTTAAGATGTCAGCATCACATTGTATCTATGCGAGCATTAAAGCAGAAATCTGTGTAGCATTGAAACAGTAACGACCTTGGTGAATACTTTGATGTAGCCTACATATTGCTATGCAGAAGAAGAATGATCACAGCATCGGTTTCATACATATAAAGTTACAGTCACAGTACAGTAGTTTACACTTTGTAAAGGTTACTGTAATGACATTGTCACTTGCAGGCTGAAAAAAAAAAAGACAGGCAGTTCATGAACAATGAGGATAAACCTGAGGAAGAAAGTGATTTACCTGCTTGTAGCTGCCCGTGCTGAGTGATTTTTGTGTGTGTCTACACGTGTGTGTCTGCGTGTGTGTTCAGGGAAAGAATTCAGGGTTTGGCCGTTGGATGATCCTAGACCATCAGTCACCTGCCATTGTGACAAATTTACCCAGCTCTGCATCATGACAGACACATCATTATCATTTTTCTTGTCAGCACCTTGTTAAAATACCCTCAGAGAGACGGCGAGAGAGAGAAAGAGGAAGGGACACGCATCCTATTATTCAAACTCTACAGTAGCTTTTTAGGCTCAGGCTACATCGTGAACAACGTCATTTTTGACAAGCAAATGTTATCAGTGTAACATAACCGTCTCAGCTACATGTGGCTAAAATTAGAGACAGATAATAATTGACTGTTAACCTCTTTCTCAAATAGGAGATTTAAAAATTGCTTTGCAGCTCTAACTCCAAATGTCAGGCTTGTCACTGGATTTCACATTTCACAGTCTTAACATGAAAAGAGTTTGATGGGTGGCTTCAGTATTTTCAGCTAATTAGCCTAATTCTAGTTTAATGTTCTTGTTCAATGCCCCAGCAACCCTAGCTAATATTACCAGTTACACTCGACATACTTACTGTTTCATTCCTTCATGTTAAAAATGCAACTGAATCTGCAAACCTGGCCATAAAACACTGCTAAACAAACAACGGCTAACCAACTATAAACATCAGGGTCATTTAGAGACACAACTTTCAATCTGCTGCTGCTGCTTATATTAGCTTAGTTAGCTAGCTTTTAAGAGTTGATACAATTTTACAGTTACAGGCTACGTCCACATGTACACGGGTATTTTTGAAAACGCAGCTTTTTCTTTCCGTTTGGGCCTTTCGTCCACATGTAAACGGCATTTTGGATCACTGAAAACTGGGATTTTCCTGCCACAGATTTTCGAAAACTTTGTTTTTGCGTTTACATGTGGATGAGGAAAACTGAGATTTAGTCACGCAACGCCAAAGGTGTGGGGCTTGTTGACGTCGCCCTGTGCACCACGTTATTGTTTACATGAGATGAATTTCTACAATGGCGGATATAGACAAAATATACACTTAGAGTTACATATAGACACACAGTTACTGTCCCTCCATTTAGAAACTGTCATCTTTAACTTTTTCCCTCCTAGGTTCTAGACTTTCTGATCGGCCAACATTAGAGAGTAAAATGGTGAATGCTGTCAGACAAGTTGGCATCTTTTATGAAAACTATGGGTGATGTCAGCAATCAGCTTCCAAACAAAGAACTCAAAAGCAGCTTTTTTGTTTAGGGAATACACATTTTTCAACCTGGTGTGACTGAGACCTTTTGTACCAAGCTATAAACATGACTCTTAATAAGCTTAGCTGGGTATTTTAACATGTAGCCTATTAGGATTCAGTGGCTTTTAGAGCATCTCTAAAGTGGGCACTACAGAAGCTGCATTTCTTTCATATTTCAGCCCTGGATGATGCTGCATGGACCTTTATCCACATTGCTGTTGCTGGTAGCAGCACTTTACTACCACTGAGAGACTCAGGCTCATTTGCAGTCACATCTGCTTGCTTAAATTAAGCTAATAAATAAATATTTTTATTTTTATGGAGGTTTTATATCTGATATTTGTATATTGTAAGCTTATTAC